GTACCTACCTATTTTAATTATTTTATTAATTTAATTTTGTAAATAACTTACCTACGACCTACCCATAGAGTTTAAGAACCAAATAAATCATTATTACTCACATTTTATCTTAATTAATAATAAATCAAATTATATTATGGAGTAAATAATAAACATACCTATACGAGTTATTAAGGGATGTATGCAATTTCTTATAATATACATTTTGGATGAAGTTAAAACAAATTGTGTATATTACATAAATAAATAATATACAAAACAATATAGTTCCATAATATATTGTAAATTTGTAACTTATGTCAAAATTGTATGTGCAGACATTAACTAATTTAATAAATAAAGAACAAATAATGTGTAGAGTGTAGACCTATTTACAATTATGAAACCTGCAGCTAATATGTAGCCACAATAGGTGCACATAAGGTGCACATAAGGTGCACATTTTAGTTTCTCAACTTAAGTTAAAATATGCTTAGTACCTACCTATCGATTAGAAAAATTCATAAGCTCTCATATGGATATACCTTTTACATAATTACAAAATCTTTATTATGAATTACAGTTTTTAAATTCACTTACCTTACTATTGCAATACTTGGGCATGATTGTTATCGTACAACAGAAAAACCAAAAAACACTGGCACAGTGGCACGACACTGGCTATATATTACTATATTCCACGAGACTATAATAATATAATAGTAGTAGGTACGAGAAAACGGGCGCGTACAAAGGTTTCGTAAGTTTCGTTGGTAAGCTGCAACATTCAGAGTGAGGATGCGTAGCGGCATTCGGCAATCGGTTTTGGCTGGAACGTTGATGGTCGATCGTCGATGGGACAGACTTGGTACCTACTACCTACTAGACTGAGTCACTGGTCATTATTTATAATTCAATAGTCAATAATATCAAATATCAAATCTAAATATATAAAATGGGGTTAACTGTATTTATATAAATATTTTCAACAACATCCAATAATAAACATATACACATTATTGTTTCCACATATGGCTATAAATATCGTTACTCTTTTTCATACAAACATTGTCAACAGTCAAGAGCTGTTTATTATGGCTGTTATTTGTATACAATATAATAACAATCTAGGGCTGTTTTATTGCTGTTTATTTTAAATCTATTATATTAACAATATTTAATAACCGCCTATAATGGTTTTTTTGGGATGATAATTATAAAATATATTATTACAGCGCAGGGTTGTTTGTTATAGAAACATCGAATTTATAATATATAATAACAGGCCCAAAACGACCATCCAACATCGCAAAACGCTGTTGCTTCTCATACATAAAATATACATTGCCGAGATGTTAGGAAACATAAAATGTTCAGTGGGTATAGCCTGCGTTTTCCCTTCCACGGGTTGCTTGTAGACAGCCGTTCTCGTAATCAGCTGTTCTTCATTTTATTTTCTCACATAAAAACATAGATATATATTAATAAATAATAATATATATCTAGGCATAAAAATAATAATACACGGATATATTATTATAGTGATTTATGACGATGGCAACCTAACAATTTTTTTTATAGACAGTTTTTTGAAAAGCGATTTTGTTTTATTTTAAAAATATAATTTTTAACAGTCGTTTAAATTTATTTTTGCGATCGTGGTGAAACAAACAACGCACTTGGATTCATTGTACGATTTTGAAAAATAAACTTACAAATATGTCGCCAGAAGTAAAAAAGCGCGTGCGGGCTCTAAAAAGACTAATTATAAAATTTTTTTAATATATTATATTATTTTAATATGAAGTGTTATTATCATTAAATTGTTCTCTAAAATATTATGTCAATCCTAAGGTCATGTGATCGCTTATAATTTGTTGGCAATTTAATTATTTTGTCATTTAGCAACATAATAGTGCATTTTTAAAATAGTGACATACTGATTACTGAAGTCTACAAACGGCCACAATAAGATCTGTTATGAGATATCAGCTCTAATTATTGTAATCTGTATTGAATTTTTTTTTTTTTTTCATTTGGAAAATTTTAAACCTGTATACTTTGTTTACCACATTAAGTAAAAAATATGGCCTAGAGAAACCAGGAGAAATACGGTCTGGGAGTAAACTTTTCAGATTTCCAAGGTAAGTGACAATATGATGCAGTCCACGCATATTTTGAATTTCCAGGATTATATAAGGCCCCCCCCCTGTGTGCAATATCTGGTATCGGAGAAGTAAAATAGATGTTCTATTGCGATATGTGATGTTTCTCTTTACTACCCACATACATTTATGTGATGTTCTGGAGATTCCAAATGCCACTTTGAAGGATATCACATCCGAGAAGTTGAAACTGAACATCTATAGAACATCTCACATTAAACATATCTTAGTAGTCTACTTAAAGATGTTAAATGCAATATCCCATCAACATCTCATAAGACATACCTAAGGATATCACATTTTTTTTATCTATGAGATGTCCAATGTGTAACATCCATGTACCTAACTGTTTTAGAATTTTATGTTGGGCTTTCAAAAGCTTTGAAAAATTGGAAATAATAATTAAATGATTCAACACAGGTCATAAAGTACAAAATATTTATTTTTAAAAGTTCCATACATAATATTCACAAAATATATACCTAACAGAAATGAAATACATTTTATTTTGTATACAATCATTTCAAAGCTATATTGATTATCAAATGTTCTGAAAAATGTATAATAATACTGAATGAAATATGATTTAACATTAACACAAATAATATAGTATAAAATATTTATTATGAAAAATTACTAATACAATATTCAACAGAATTATGACATTTAAAGTAATTATTCTGTATGCAATAAGTTTAAGGCTACAGCTTGATTTTCTGATATATGGAAAAACAAACACTTATATTTTAAATTTGACAATTCAATTAAACATTTTGGAATTTTAATTTCCGTATTTACCAGAAAATGTCCAATTAAACATAGGAGATAAACTTTCATATTTAGTAACCTCAAGAATTATTTGACCAGAAGAGTTTTTAATTATTTTATCAATAGAAACAATAGCACAGCAATTAAACAAAAAAAAATACTTATCACGTTCTTTAGTAGAACTAACTTTGAAGTTTTTTAGTAAAACATGTTCATACAATGTGGATGTTATATCTTGGTGAATTGAATAGTTAAAATCAATTTCTTTTTTAAGTAACGGATATTTAATGTTAGTTTCTAAATAGATATTTTGTTCAAGAATTCGGTTGTATACGTCTTGAAGAGGGTATTTAGAACCAGGGACTGGAACCTTTATGATTTTATGGGTTTCGGTTTCGGTTTCGGTTCTCAAAAATCCAAAATTTCGGTTTCGGTTCTGGTTTCGGTTTTCAAAAATATCAAATTTCGGTTTCGGTTTCAGTTTCGGTTAATACCGGTTTTAACCCTTATTATTTGATTTTTGCTTTTTATTTTTATCAATTAAGTTCTGTATAAAAAAATCAATATATTAAGAACTTCTATTTAATGATTGGTACCTATTTATAATTGAGTGTACCTATTTAAGAATTTAGCTAATAATATAATATAATATATAATATAATATAATATTGATAATCAGTCGTAGTGTCGTACAGAGCATAGAGTAAAGAGTAAACATTATGTGTAGCTATTTTTAGCAGTATTAATTATTATTAACGACTCCGACGACGATGTCAATAACACAGCTGTGTTATTGATAATATATTAATATCATATTATTTTCGTTGGTACTATAATAATTGTTCGTAAAAATAGTATTAGTTTATTTCAATAATAGATAGAGGGGGTATCTTGATCAGATGTGTAAGTGTGATAACAAATAACAATAAGTGTATATTTATGTTCACACTATAAAATATCTATTGGATTTTAGAACCGAAAATAACCGAAAAAAACCTCTACATCAAAATAAAGGTTTCGGTTTCGGTTTCGGTTATTAAAAAAATGTATTTAAGGGTTCCGGTCCGGTTTCGGTCCCAAGTTTTTCCAAAGGTTTCGGTCTTTAACCGGTCAATTTCGGTACGGTTCCAGTCCCTGTTTAGAACTGTGAACAGTTTTTTTTAATGATTTGTAAAAAGTTTTCAAATTTAAATGCACTAAACTTGTCAAGTGGACCATGAATCTTAACAAAATTAGCTATATGTATAAGACCATGAACATTATATGTCACATATACATTACTACAAGTATTATTATCATTAGTAAAAATGTCCAACTTTCCTGGTTGTAGATCTAAATTAAAATTATTATTATTTAATGTTTCATTTGATGATGGAGTTTCTTCAGTACAGGCAAATTTCACTAAAGCTGCCATATTCGGAGCTGAAATTGACTGTGGTAAATTGATAGAGGAACCTTCCTTATGATAAATACTTGAAACCGTTCTGTTATAATGTCTCCTCGACATTAAATGTAATGGTTTCATTTTTTTTACCTAAAAATATAAAAATGTATTTACAATTTGGCAGGTATAGGTTAATAATACTAAAAAAATATCTTGTTTAAATACCTATTAACATGTCTCTTTGATAGTAAAAAAAAGAAATTCTAATTGTTACTGTTAACATTTCAAAAAAGGTTTAAAAGTATTCAATTTAGGAAAACGCACTTGTTCGATATAATAGTGACATAAAAATACATTTTTTTTTATAATATTAATTGTTTGAATCCATATTTAATTTATTTTAATTATTTTAATCTATACTGGCTGATACACTTGGTAGTTGCCTGGGTTGGGGTGTGTTATTATTTTATAATAGGATACAAGATAATGTGAACAAAGTTACAACCATATCAGTGCAGAATACAATTGGGGAAAGAGTAAAGCCTCTATGTTATGTATTAGGAAATATGATTTTTTAGAATATCCTTCAATAATTTATTATTTACTACAAGTTACACCACTAGAACCATACCTAGCCATAATATATATTATAGTTTATAAGCTTACTTATTATTACTATACAAATATTTCTGTGAATTCAAATTTTACTGCTTTATGATTTCTTCACGTGCCAAACGTTGGCTTCCATGGCGGAACCAATCCTTCACGTGACACTCAAAGCTACTGTCGTTCATTTGGTAATTATCATAGGCGATTTCTGAAATTATAATAATATTATTTTATTGCAAGTGGGTACATACATTAAATATATGAAAACAATAAATAATTACGTTTTACTATCTTCATAATTTGATGATTATCTAATCGAAAATTATTCTTAAATCCTGTCCAAGAACATACAGAAGATAATTTATTTGTAAATAGTCTTGAAAGTACTCTTTTGATAAAGTTTTTTAAACTTGTTCCACCAACTGAATGTATAAAATGAGTCTAAAAAATCAACATAATATTTGTATGTAATACAAAACTTAAATTAAATTTTACTATTCTTACTAATTTGAGCTTATATTCTTCATTTTGTAAGTTCTCCTCCATATCTTGTATCGCTGCAATATCTTTTAATGGAAACATATTTAAAACCGAATCATCTAATGGCAAGTATTGTGCGCTTGGTGGATGTGTTATATGTTCTAAAAGCACATCTAACTTTTTGTCCAATCTATTCAAGAACATATTTGTTGAATTCATAAATTCTGTGAAAGTGGGCATACTATTGCTAGGATTACCAGGTTCTGAAAAAATTGTTTTATTATTATTAAAAATAAAAATGTCATAGGTAGGTATGCTTAATTCAATGTTTACCTTGATAATTTGATAAATCTGAATCGAAATTATACCCTATTGAATGCAATGCATCAGATCTTGTATCTGAAAGAAGTAAAAAAAATAATTTAATATTTTTTTTTTATACACAATTATATTTTTTTTAAGTATAATATAATATTAATAGATATTACCTTGGCTGTTTTTTTAGACTACTATCAAAATTTTGTCCAATTAACTGTAGAGTCCTTTGAACTTGTATCTAGCATTGGATATAAAATATATAAATGATAAAAACTATAAAAAAAACCTACAAAGCAAAATAGGATACTTAAATTATTAAATATGTTATTATTACCTTCATTCCTCAATAAAACATTTTCATTTCCGTTTAACTGCATTGTATACGGTTCTATATATTATGTAACAAATAATAAATAATTAAAATATTATATTAAAACAAAAATTAATATTCATGAAGGTTATACACCAAGATTTAACAGTTACAGTTTTGAATGAATGGTTAAAAAAAATAATAAATGTATAAGTGTAATGTATATAGAAAATATTGTAAGTAATTCAATTAGTTAAGTATAAGTATTATTACCATGGATTTGTAAAATATTTTCATTTTCTTTTAAGATTAAGTTTGACTTCATTTTATAATCTTCTATATATTATTATGTAACAAATAACAAATATTATATCAAAACAAAAATTAATATAAATATTCTAAGCAGCTTTTAAGTATACAAGTTAAGTTACAGTTATGAATAAATTCATAGTTAAACAAAATAAAGATTGTCAATACTGTGAATAATTCAATCAGTCAAGTATAATTGGTGTTATTACCTTGTTCATTATGTAAAATATTTTCGTTGAAGTTTGACTGTATTGCATAAGCTCCTATATGGCACAAATTACAAATAATGTAAATATTAAAAAAAAAAGAATGAAATATAGACAATGTAGACATCTACTAACTAGTGTTATATAATATTACCTTGGTCACAATTGTTGACAAAATGTGATGTAGATTCTGCGGTTAAACCTAATTTATTAAAAATATAAGCAGCAATAAAATGAAATATCTATACAATTATAGCTATAGAAATCACTTATTTTAAAATTCTTAAAATAAATTAAACTATATGAAAAAAAAAGAAATTCCTACTTACTAGATAAAATATTGCTGCTTGTGTATACTTCTGAAGTTTTATTTTTCTCATTAGTAAGTGCAGGTTTCTTATACACACTAAGAGTGACTTCTTCGCAAGAATAACTACCTATAAATCAAAAATATTGTATGATATTGTAATCAATAGACATTATAGGTCCCCAACATTATTACCTGATGCATCATATTGAGTTTTAGTCGTTTTGGATAATTTCAGTCTTTTGCCCCGTCTTAAGGTTTCTTCATTTTCTGACTCAGACCTAAATATTTCTACTTCCTTCATTGCTGCTTGTTCATATGAGTCTATATATTATGATTTATGTATTATAATAAATATATTTTTATATGTAGGTACTTTATTAATTTTATTTACATTTTAGACTATTAATCAAACTATTAAACTTTCATTTAATTTCCAATAGAAAAATGAGATAAAAAATAAATATCGTACCAAATTGTTCAATGACTTTAACAGGGTATGACTTCCAGTCCTCAGATGGTTTACCTCCTTTCATCAGCATCATTGTTGTAACCCTTTGTTTTAAAGGCCATTTACAGGAATGTCCCGGAGTACCATTTAATATAGCAGTTGATATCCAGTAAGAGGGAATCACTGAATACTTGTGCTCCTCTTTAAAATAACCAATAATCCACTAAAAGTGCATAATTAAATAGGCATCGGCTAAAATCTAGCTGTGGTACATACTGGAATATATTTGTCTGTAGGAAACATAATAATTTATATTAGGTATACAATTTAATATTGTATTCCTACTTATAGGCTAAGTAGTAAGTACTATGTTTTCAATAGCTATAGTGGATATAGGCAGTAAATGCATGAATTTCCTAGTTATCTGTATTATACAGACTGTATAATATTGTTAAATAACTAACCTATCTAATAAACTAAGAAGATAAAATAATTATAAACTACAAAATTATACTAACTATTGGATATAGATATTATTTATTTAATTAACTATTCACATACCTGTTTTTTTGAACCTTCCATTTTAACAGCACACTGCTACAGTGACAATTATAGCTGATATTATAACACTCGTAAAAAAACTTTTGACAAAATAACAAGCCACAATAAGGTATCGATTATCTAATATCTTGTACACACTTGAATACACTTTAATATACCTACTTGATATTAGGTACTTTAAAGTTTAAATACAAATTACAGATACTCAATGCCGGCCTACTGCTGGTGGCTGGTCGTTTGCGAAAATAAACTATGTCGTACAATTATTGTGGTCGATACTGAATACTGATGGATATAATCGTGGGTATTCTCATGTACAGAAACTATTTTGCCTATTACCACACTATTACACGGCTATTATCATTAATATTATTGCCATTATCACATCGGGTATTTTTTTCAAATTTATTTTTAGATTTATGTACAATAATTTTACGGGAGATCTATGTGACCATCATGCGATATTATTGCGGATGTTTGTTTATAATTATTTATAAATCATTTTAAAATCGAAAACTAATATCTCTGAGACATCACAATCAAAACATTAGATGTTATACATTCGTGGAGATGTTGGTTTTGCGATTTCATTTTTAGGATATTATACAATCATCTCATTGACATACCAGAGATGTATATTGTGGGAAGTAATTTTTATAATTTTGCAATCATCTGATTGACATATCAGAGATGAACACCGTAGATGTTAACTTTGAGATCATACACCAACGTCTATGAGATATCATTGTCAACACATTGCACACAGG